TAATGGAAGAATGAAATTCTGATTTAATTAAGGAAATATAAATAACCAAATAGGTTAAAAGCACATATTTGAATATTATAGCGATAGGAAAGGAGGGGGGGGGAGTTAAAATTGGGATAATAAATAGAGGGGAATAATAATAGTTAAGATACACAAAAGGAGAGAAAGAAGGTTTAGAAATGAAGGGTGAAAACAAAAGGCGTGTATAAATAATATGAAATAATGGAAACGAAAAGTAACAGGAATAAATAAGATTATGTTTATGTGTACTGAAACGTATGATGCCACACCATTCACAGTGATATGTATAAAAAATATAAAAATTTGATTGAAAAAAAAACATTTAGGCTCTGGACTGCAAGAGACAAACCCCAGTTAACCCCCACCCCAAAGGGAATTTCTGCAGAAAGCAGGAAGCCTTCAGATCTATTGATCTCTTTTTATTTGTACCCTATGACTATCATTAAGTGTTGTACCTTATGATTCTTGACGAATGTATCTTGTCCTTTTATGTACGCTGAGATCATACGCAACAAAGACAAATTCCTTGTGTGTCCAATCACACTTGGCCAATAAAGAATTCCCTTCCCATTCTATTCCCTAGTCTGTTCCCTATTTTATTCTATTCTTTTTTTTAAGGCAAGGCAAGCCAACCTCAGAGCTGTGAGAAGCAGCAGAAGGGAAAGGGCACCACAGGGTGCTCCCAGGGGAAGGAAAAAACTGATTTGCCATCATCAAACTAAAAAAAGGGAAGGCCCCTAAAAGATCCAATTATGCCGATAGGGAGAGGGGTACGCCTGGCATGGTAACCCATGGGGCGTCGCCACCCCCTTGGCAGGATTTCGATTCCTGTGTTGGGCTCCTCCCCGGGTGACGCCCAGAAGATGGCACCTGTCGTAACCCTTTTCCATTAGGCGTGGGGAGGCTCCAGGCTTTGCCCAGGCTCCTTAACTCGGGACTAGAAGCCGAGCAGCAGAAGGCCGCGCCCTCACGGGCGTCGCCTCACCTGCAAGCGCCCCGCTGGCAGGGCTCCAGCCCGATCCGGTAGGCCGCCTCAATGTGCTCCTGCGTCACGGCTTCGGGCGGCACCGTCTCCGTCCAGCGCCAGGCCGCCTTCTCCAGCTGCAGCCGCGGAGCCATCCCGGGACCGGCCCGAGCGGGAAGAGGGCCTCCGGAGGGGCGATTCCGGAAGAGGAAAGAGAGACCGGGCGACCCCCGGAAGCGGAAGCGGCCCCAAGGACCTTGGCAGCCTTCAGGCCACGCCTCCTGGGGGCGCGCGCGGGGCGGCTCGCTCTACCTGAGCTTCTCGGGTCTGACGTCACGCCAACGGCGGACGCCAAGCCTGGGAGCGGGGTGGTGGGGGGTGGGGAGGAAGAGAGAGAGAGGGAGGGCTTGGAGGGGCGTGGCCCGCGACTTCTAATAGGGCGGCGCTCTCTCGAAAAGGCCCCGCCTCCTTCCCGTGTGGCGAAGATGAAGGGAGGGAGGGAAAAGTTTGAGAAAGCCGTTGGACGAGCGGAGCATGCGCACATTGGGCTCGCTCTTCTGAGGCGAAACTTCCCCACAATGCATTGCTCATCCCGTTTTGTCTCTTGAGGTGAAAAGTTTTGTATAATCACCAAGTTTTAAAAAAAAAACATAACAAAACGCCCTACACCTAAATGTAGGGATTTCCCCATTTATTTGTACCCATTTCTTAATTTCTTATTCATGTTTATTCTTACTCCTGTTATCTTGTACATGAGTGACAAACTAAATAAGAATATGAGGCACTTTTGACCCTTTTAAAATGGCTGCTCTCGGGCGCGGCTGGTGCTGTTTTCAACGTCCCACCCCTCCACAGGTCTACGTTTCCCCGCGGACCCTCAATCCACGTGTTTATTTCTCATGCTAACGTACGTCCACAACGCCATTGTGGCAAAGAGCCACAATGACCATGACCTGGGAAGTGGGTATACATTAGAAGGCCTTCTACACCAGGGCAAGACTACAACTCCCAGTAGCCCTTGGGCTCACACCGGAAGAGCCTCCCCTCTGGTCCGGAAGCGTGGCTGTGCAGGGGCGGGCCCACTGAGCGCCAAACACTTCGTGACAGCCAGGCACGTTCTCGTAGCCTGGGAGAAGCAAAACTTGGCGAGAGGAGAGAGAAAGAGGAGGAGAAAAGACAAAAAGAAGAGAGAAAGAAGAGAAGAGAGGAGGAAAGGAAAGGGAAGAGAGAAGGAAGAGAGATAAGAGAAGAAGAGGAGAGAAATGACAGACTAGGGATGACAAAGAGGAGAAAGAAGAGAGACGACATGACAGATGACAAGAGAGAAAATAGAAGAGAGAAAGAAAAGAAGAAATAAGAGGAAAGAGATGACAGAAGAGAGATGATAAGAGAAGAAAGGAGAGGAGAATGAAAAGAAATAAGAAAAGAGAAGAAAGAGGAGAAAAGACAAAAAGAAGAGAGAAAGAAGAAAAGAGAGGAGGAAAGGAAAGGGAAGAGAGAAGGAAGAGAGATAAGAGAAGAAGAGGAGAGAAATGACAGACTAGGGATGACAAAGAGGAGAAAGAAGAGAGACGACATGACAGATGACAAGAGAGAAAAGAGAAGAGAGAAAGAAAAGAAGAAATAAGAGGAAAGAGATGACAGAAGAGAGATGATAAGAGAAGAAAGGAGAGGAGAATGAAAAGAAATAAGAAAAGAGAAGAAAGAGGAGAGATAGGAGAGGAGAAAAGAGAGAAAGAAGAGAAGAAAGAAGAGGAAAGAGATGACAGAAGAGAGATGATAAGAGAAGAAAGGAGAGGAGAATGAAAAGAAATAAGAAAAGAGAAGAAAGAGGAGAGATAGGAGAGGAGAAAAGAGAGAAAGAAGAGAAGAAAGAAGAGGAAAGAGATGACAGAAGAGAGATGATAAGAG